GAGAAATATAGGGGAAATGAAAAGCATGATAGATTTTTCTTCCTGTTGGGAGAGGAACTGCTCCGAAACTCAGGACGCCTCAATTCACCGACATCATCCACATTTCCTGGTTGCACGAGGCACGCATTCCTTGGACTCAATTATGAGAGATGCAGAGACTCGGTCGTTCTCCTCTGAGAACCGCTTTGAGGGGGGAGAGGCGTGAATGGGTCGCGATTTTTGGTCGAAAAGGGATTTAAAAGGAGGAACGGAACAACCTTGTTTGTGAATAGGACTTACGGCTTCTCCGTGGTAGGGATGAACCAAATATTCACGGATTAATGAGAAGAGGTTGCGTAATGATAATGAAATCTCATTTATCATGCAGGATTTCGAATGGAAAGAAACAGCTTTTGAAAAATGAAGGCTATTTAGGAAAACCCGGATGAGACGGAAATTTACTTCCGTGAACGAAAATCCGATTCCGACTATGGATTGGAATTTTCCGGAAAATGGGAGGAAAGTTCGATTACTCGCTTTAGTCGGAGGGATCGATTCAGAAGTTTTTTTTTTTCGAAACAGCACATTTCGAAACAGCACATTTACGTGAAAAAAATAAGAGACATGGCATTAATGTAATGCAGCTGAGCACGCGTCGGTGACGAGCATGATACTCTTCATTCCCGTCTTCTGTCTCATGAGAACTTGTGTTTCCTTCGCCGGCCCGTGAAACGGGTTCCAAAAAGTTTTCATGAAACTTTAAACAGTATAGTAACATCTGAAGAAACATTCATATGGCAAAAGAAGCCTCATGAAAAGAAGGTACATGTCATGGATTGACAGATCAGTGCCTCAACCCAATGGAAGATGAGGAAACAGTGCCTGGAAGACTGTCCACAGTAAATGATAGTTTGTGACATTCATGAACAATGAAATCAAGAGAGGTACTCTTTGGTTCATGACCCTCCACATGAGCATCAACCAACTCTCCTTCATCGGATTTAGACTCCGTGAGGATGCTGCCGTTGGCTTTGGCAACCCCAGTCACCGGAGGAGCTTGAAATGGGGAACTTGCATGGACTTTTACGCTCTCTTCCTTGTGCTGCTTGGCCAGAGCCATCACCATCTCTTCAAACTGATTTCGCTGATCCCGTTCATGCTGTAGAAGGCGCTGCCACTTGCGACCTTGATTGGTCGCCAAGTCAACATAATCTGAACAGACCTGGTGAAAACATGTATTCTATTCTCTCAAGAACATCTGATGAAAGAATCACTGCAAATTACAGATGATGTGGAAAGAGACTGACCTTGATCATGACATTACAAGTGATACGAAAGAGAGTGGCTCTCTCACTGACAGTCTTCAAATGACTGGGAACCTTAGCAGCAACTGTCATGGCATCGTTTCCCTCGGCACTAGCTTGAGCATGCAAGGACTCCAGTTCTCCCAGAGCACGC